ATCGTCCTACTTAGTTTATAAGGAAATTATAAAGAGGAACAAATTAAATGATTTGAAAATGATATCTTTGTAGGTGCTGACGCTGTTGGCGGTTATAGTGTTAACAGAAATTTAAATTAAATATGTGTAATGGCAAATGCCATATACGATTTTCTTACCTGGAATTCTGCCTTTTTGAACAGACTTTTTGATTGAGTCCTAGCTATATTGTCTGCAGTTCTAGGGTTAATATTAATCTAATATGATTGTCATCGGTCTAAATTAGATTTCAAATGATTAACTGTGTATGTAATGAAGATCATAGTGTGGGTTAAATCCATTTTCATAACCACTGTCTTTTAACTGATTTAAATGCGGAAACTGGGCTTATTCATCAGAATTTCGTATGACTTGACCCGAGCAATGACTTGACTTGACTTGCTTGACTCTCACCACAGTGACTTGGGACTTGCTTGATACTTGTAGGTCAAGACTTGAGACTTGCTCATGACTTGCACATGTAGGACTTACTTCCACCTCTGGTAAATAGGCTCAGCAGCAAACCCACCTTTATTATATCTTCCTGAGACCCACTGCATCCGTCTGCCATAAACACTATGGAAACCTACATGTTAGTTTCGGCCCATAGTGGACTCCATTTTGTATTGTGTATAATGGGGGGGGGAATTAAAAGTTTGCAAATCCCCATGTCCTCCTCAGAGGACAATCATAAACACATTTAGTTGTAGGTCAAATAATATTTCAAATTATATAAATTATCATATTTGTGTATGTGCCCCTGCCATTCTTCCACAAGGTTGCAACATTGATGATAAATAAATGACAAATAAAGCTTCGCCAGTTTATAACCGATGAAACATGATGGTATCAGAATAATCACTTACATGTGATGTATAGGATGCTACACAGGTCACTAAAGATAAAGTGTCAGGAGAAATAAGCAAGATACAGGATCTGTTTAATCGCCATGTAGGTTCTCTTTATTGCACTCTCAAGATATAACAGTAAATAGAAGTTCACATTTTTAATGTAAATAAAATAGAAGTTGTACATGTAAGTTAACATTATCAATATAAAATAAAGTGTCAGTTGTATCAAGACTGTAGACAGTAATAACAATAATATAAAATAAACTGTCCCAGGTGTAGGGATAGGCTCAGCAGCATACACACCTTAGTGCAAAGTTGTGTGTCAGTATTAATAAAAACAATACAAAATGAACTGTCCCAGGTGTAGGGATAGGCTCAGCAGCAGACATTGTTAACAGTGGCAACTATAGGGAGGAAGGTTGGCTTTCACTAGCTGGGAAAGCACTTCCAGAAACCCATTCTGAAAAGCGGTTTGACGCTCATCCTGGCGCCGCTCGCGCTGCGCCGACACTTCATCCTGGCGCTGCACCGACACTTCATCCTGGTGTTCCTGGCGCTCCATCTGCCGCTTCAACACTTCAGCCTGGCGCTCCATCATCGTGAGCATCTTGTCCTCCGTTTCCTGGGCCTTGGTTAACAGCACCATCTGATCCCCGTGCATCGACTCTTTCACCACGGCACGCCGGTCCTCCAACGCCTCGACGGTGTCAAAGAAATTCACATCCCGTGCCCGCTTTCCTAAGAGGGAAAATAAGCAAGATACAAGATCTGTTTAGTCGCCATGTAGTTTTACAACATACTAGGAATGTGTTTACTAGTCAACATTGGACAGGGTGCAGGCCGGGACAAGACAGTGTACACAATGCAGGTGTGTAGTAGAAGCAGTGGCGGCTGGTGGAACATATTTTAGGTGGGGCTGTGGAAATGGTGACCAAACAATACTAGGGGGGTCCGGGGGGATGCTCCCCCAGTAAAAAATGTTGAGAAAAGACCCCCTAAATTATGACTTCTGGTGATGTTAGAGGGGGGGGGGGGAAGGACAATTTGAGGCTTAAAAATATGAGAAGACTGATCAATACCTCCATAATCTTCAGTGTGGTTAGCTATGAATCTTCCAAAACTTCCAAACACCTTGTCCTGGACATCGTTTCTGCAGCATAAACTGTGTAACAGTACAGTAGGCCTACACAAACTGCAGAACACCGGGGCTTTGGGAACACTCAAAATTACTTAAAATGATTTAATTCCCATTTAACCTGTTAAGGGGCTTTTTTCCCCCTTTTTTTTCCTCACGAAACTGTGTCTCAGGGCTTCTTAAAATGTAATAAACTATTCCTGTGTCCTACTCAGAGGAAACACAGCTAACTGATGATATGAACCATGTTTACCGAAACAAAACACAAGTCTCACAAGAAGCATCTAAATGAGCCCTGAGCGAAAAAATGCTAACGCACTCTAGGTATAAATCAATCTATATACTTATGGGATATGCACAAACAAGCTTATGCTAACAAGCTGAGATTCCACAGATTCTAGAAATATACTGTAAGTATCATCACTGAGCGATCAGAACTCGCGACAGGGGAAGCAAATACAGACATCACACGACGTAGCTTTAGGTAGCAAAACACGGAGATATGCTCACCTTTTGCAGAATAATAATTCTGATCAAAAACGAGAAAAACGCGGCTGAAGGTTAATCCATAGGTTAATCCAATGTGTCTGTTACTTTGAAAAAATTATTGATGATCCATAATTCCATTTTTATGTCAAAAACGGAGTTTTCATTAGCTGCTAATGGTAGCTTGCTTCCAGAGTGTATGACAGCTTCCTGATTTGTCTCCTTGGATACGAGTCCAAACAACTCACAGACTGCACTGGGCGCTGACGTAGGAGCCCTGTGACCATCAGATTTGACGACGCTGATTGGCTGAAATTATGTTTCGGTGGCATAGTTTAAAGATAGCAACAGTTGGCTTCTGCTGCACTTGCTGCCCTCTCGTCTGGGCGCTGTGCATAGCGCCCAGACGAGAGAGGGTAATGATACACGGGCAAGGCCAGGCAGGAAACATGTGATTTATCAGTAACTTTAGACATCGTAACACAATTTTAAACGAGATTTTATTGTAGATTATACATTTTACTGATACCAATTATATAATATTTACCTTGTTCATTAAAAAAAAATATATATATATATTTTTTTTAATTTTTAATGTGGGAAGAGGGGGGGGCGGCGCCCCTAGCGCCCCTATGGGCCGGCCGCCACTGAGTAGAAGATAATATAGGATCAAATAGCATAAAATATATATATATATATATATATATATATACACACACACTGAGTGTGTGTGTGTGTGTGTGTGTGTGGAGCTGCCGTTCAAAGTGCCCTTATTTATTGTTTTGTATTTTTGAGTGAAGAGTGCTTCATGTATGCTTGAACTTTGTTTAATGTTGTTGAGGCAAGTTTTCTTACCGGAAGTCATGTGACCTCTAGCCCGGATGTTTACAATGTTTGTGAGAGAGTAAAAACGGCGGTCTAGGCGAATACGTTTTCACGCTGTTTCATAATTGTACCAAGAAGGAAATAAACGTGATTGTGAACATCAGTTCGATGCGTAACGTTCTTTCAAGACCAAGTTACAGTGTGTGTACCTTTGCGTTTGGTTGCTGGTAAGGGGGACGAGCAAGCGCTGTGATCTGGAAGGGAAAGCTCGCTTGTTTCCAATCCTGAGAGTTGTCCAGCCTCGCCTGAAACACACGATTAGTGCCATGAGTTAGTGAAGCAAATTACAGAAACACTGCACAGTTATTCACAAGTCAAAACGTTTTCATAGCGGCCGAGAATATCTATCTAGCTAGATGTTATTAGCCAGCTCGGGGCCGGTGTTAGTCAGTTCAGCCTAGCATGGCTAGCTTGATCTACTGAGCAAATAAAAGTACACCTGAGACCATTATTGTGCAGATTAAAACCCCAGTGCATGTAGTTGATTTTACCTTCGTCGTGGTCGTCGTCATTGGCCACTGAATCCTCCCACACCATCGTGCCCGAATCGAAGGTCGATGCTGTGCCGGAGAAAGGTCTGTGGCCTAGCAGAGCATCCAAGCGCTCGTACCATTTACTGGTCTTCCGGTCGTTACCACTCTTGTTATTATAGTCTTTAATTTTTTTGTAGTCCTGCCTGAGTTTCTTTATTTTTAGCCGGCGTACCGTGGCGCTGTGCACGATTCCCAGCTCGAGTAACTTTTTCGAACAACGCTCGAACATTTTGGAGTTGGGTACTGGCTTCAGTAGCATTCCCTGGGTCGCGTCCTCGGCGTAGATTACCAGAAGCGCCGACACCTCCTCATCACTCCACCGCTCCGATGATTTATTGATGCTTGCCATAACTGCTTTCAAAACAAAGTACTCTCCGTTGGTGCGCTGGGTTTATGTAGCGAGCAAATAAAATGGCGGCTCTACAAAACATTTCAGAGTTTTACGGGGCGTGGTTTGCAATTCGCCCAGCCAATCAGAACTGGGGCACTTTTTTCCCCAAGGAAAGTACCATCTCTCAGCAGGCACTAAAAATGGGGGTAAAAGTTCCCGAGATTAAGTGCTCTTTTTGGTGTGAACGCGACATAAGGGGTACTAACGGAACTAAACGCAAAAAGTACGGTGAAAAGTACTCCGGTGTGAACGCGGCTATTGAATGAAAATACTCAGGTGAAGTACAAGCAGGTTTATCAAAACAAGCAATATCATACAAAGTCAAATTCTGACTTTCACAAAACATACATTCATAATTTATACTTTATGAAACCCTCTTATCCTAACGTGATTATTCTTTAAAATAAAGTGCCATTGAAAATAATGTTGGGAGTTACATTTTCTTTTAATAAAATCACACATACTGTATTCATATAAAACACCTCCATTGTAAAAACTTGGGTTAACGAAAAGCTGTCAAAACTTAAAACAATTAAACAAATACTAATGATTACATTACATTACATTACATTACATGTTAGACGCTTTTATCCAAAGCGACTTACATACTCAAAACTGTGGACAATCCCCAAAGGAGCAATTTGGGGTGAAGTGTCTTGCCCAGGGACACAACGACATGCTGACTGCAGTGGGGTTTGAACCTGTGCTCCCCTGATCCGAACACCAATGCTCTAATCCACAGCGCCACAGCCGCCCTATACCATACTTAACCTTTTTATGAGTAAAGAAATTAAATAATGATTTTTTTTAATGCAAAATGCACTCCAATAACACTCAAGAGACTTTGTTCACACATTTGTCTTCCTTGAACAATCTGTTGAATTAATTACACAGGATGAGACTGAAAAGTCCAAACATGTCTATACTACTACAAAAGGAAGTACAATAAAACACCATTTAAAGTCAGTGTTGCTATTATCTAATAATATATTTGCCTATTTTTAATTATATTCATACTATTGGATAGTAAAACCTGAGTGTAAATGGATGTCAGAGCAGGAAACAAGGTAGCTGGTTACAGTAAACAATCTTTGAAAGTTATCTTGACAGTATAAAAGTTATTTGGAAAACGTTAAAACAGTAAAATTGCTGCAGTGCTGCTGTACTCTTGCCAGAGAAACATCATCTCCCCACGATCAGCACATGCTCACTTTGCATCCTGGAGCTGAAACACTTAGGAACAGTGGCGGCCGGTGGTCTTTTTTTTTGGTCGGGCTCTTGACGTACCGTAAGTGACCTACCCGGGGGGTCCGGGGGAATTTTTTTTCGAGAAATGACCCCTTAAATGATGACTTCTGGTGATGTTAGAGGGGGGGGGAAAGGAGAAATCGAGGCTTAAAAATATGAGAAGACTGATCAATACCTCCATAATCTTCAGTGTGGAAAATATTATTTATCAACCTGAACATCTACTACTTTACCAGGAATTTGTGTTCTCAGAACTGGTCTGTTTTTTTCTTTCTTAAAACTGTTCATGTTTTATGAACCAACACCTTCACCAAGTAGCTTTACAGTGAACTGCATGTGAGATATAAAATTAATAGCATCTTTTCAGTAGCATTAATTATAAATATTTAAGTGGTTCAATACAAGTCACTACAGCATTTCAAACTGAACTGTGAATAAATGCAATTTAAAAAAAATAACCACAGCACAAAATGTCATAAATTGTGTTTTTTCTTTGTTTCTCTGAGGATTATTTACAAACAGGCTTATTTACATATAGCAATAACTCAGAAATGAAAAAGCTACATCGTCTAACACGAACAACCACTTAGCATAATGATAATATATGTGTTATGTACAATGTAACTGGCAATGCTAGAGCAAGAAAGAACATAAAGTTTGCAAAAGGTTTAAATAACTTCAAGTATCTGTCTTCAGATTACGTGGAGGTTTTAGTCCGATGGGAAGCAGATTTTAAGCGACACCGAAGATAAACCAAAAATGTGGTGGAGCTGCAAACCGTGTAGTGTTGCTGGGACAGGACAGGAGCTATAACCGTTGGAAAATACATCACAGACAATGCAACAAACGTGGAGACAGAACAATCACTTCTGTGATAAATGCCCACTTATTAATAAACTTCTAACAACCATGGGAAACCTCCTCTCTACATATAAAGTGATATCCAAGCATGGGAAACAAAAGACAGCATTTACCTGTTTGCATCCAGCTAGCCAAGCCTTTTTTGTGTACCAGCTACTTGCGAAGCCTCGTGTATACGTTTTGTCTTTTTCACGAGATTGCTGCGATATATTCAAATCGGGTTGGTCCGGTCCAAGGTCTTTAAGCAACAATTTATCTGCCAAACTTCTCCTTTCGAAAGGATTGGAGATTAGCTCTTGAACAGAATTAGGCGGGGACCGAGGTCCGGAGACTCCACCTGCACACGAAGCCATCCTCATCAACTACTGCGTCAACCGGATACGAGTCACTGTCCAAACTACTCACAGACTGCACTGGGCGCTGACATTGGCGCCCGGTGACCGTCATCTTTGACGACGCTGATTGGCTGAAATTATATTTTCGCGGCATAGTTTACACGTTACAGACAGCAACAGTCAGCTGCTAGTGGCTGCTGCTGCACTGGTTGAAGGCTCCTCTCTTAGCGCCCAGACGAGAGAAGGTGCATGGGCAAGGCCAGGCAGGAAACATGTGACTTATCAGTAACTTTAGACATCGTAACACAATTTTAAACGAGATTTTATTGTAGATTATACATTTTACTGATACCAATTATATAATATTTACCTTGTTCATTAAAAATAAAAATAAAAATATATATTTTTTTTTAAACATATATATTTTTTTTTATTTTAATTTTTTTTTTTTTTTTTTTTTTTCAATATGGGAAGAGGTGGGGCGGCGCCCCTAGCGCCCCTATGGACCGGCCGCCACTGCTTAGGAAGTTGAAAACTTTAACCGGAAAAACTTTTGGACCTTTGACTGAAACGCAACATAAGGTTGGAGAATATACTAGTTGCATTACACAAGCAGATATATGGAGCCGACTCAAAAGGTCTGGCCATCTCACTTATTACATTAACCCCGGATTGTTATATACAAAGAGGCAACGCTGACTCAAGTGACATCACTTAAGGCAATTTCAAAAGGCTTTTACAACTTCTAACCTATCTGGAAGTACTGTTTATGACCTGTAAATCCGACATCTTTTGATGTACCTTCCACAGGTTTACACTTTGAAATTCAATGTAATTTAAAAAGTACGTTAGGTAAACTGGATAAGTTGTGTCTTAAATCAAGTAAAGTTCCATTGCCTTCTCTTGATTAGCAGCTTTTCTGTTTGGAATATATTATCCACATACAAGGGATATGTCGAAAACAGGGCTATTTACACATTTTGTAACCGTTTCCCAGTATCTACTGAGCTTAAAAAATGAAATCTGTCAGCCAACAGTTTGTTCAGAGATGTTGAACACACTATTAAATTCCTTGTCAAACAACTCCTTCAGTCTGTTTCCCAACGCAAGGTATCCAGCATTGCCCTGCAAAAAGAACACAACAGACCTTATCACTAAAATATGTCCTAAAAAATAAATCTTTACTTTGATATTTGACTGTTTTAAACCATTTAGTACCAGATGTGAACATGATGAAAACTCCCAACCCTGCAGTTCATGTAGAGCTTATGAAAGACACTGTTATATCTCTCACAGGCTCCGCCCTCTACTGGACTCTATGGGTACTACCTTATCCCGCGTGCATTCTCCCACTGAGACTTCTATAGACGTAGCCGGCCCAGGGCGGGCCTACCTGAATGCACGCGCATCACACCGTATAAAAGGAGGCCTCGCCTCCTGACTGCTATCCTTTTTCTCTTCAGCTAAGCGGAAGTGATTCCACAGAAGACGTAAGACGTATTGAAGTGAAAGTAATAGAGAGAGAGTATGGCTGGACCATAGGACCTGCCCGAATTGTCCGAACCTGATTTCAGGAGTCGATCCGCACCCCCTCTGCTTCACGTGTTTGGGGCCCGACCACGCGATGAACGGTATGGGCTCGACGCCGGCGTGCTCGGCCTGCCAGGCGATCCCGCGGCGCACGAGGAGCATCGTGGGCAGCACTTCTTGGAGAAGATTGCCCCGCAGGAGGAGTCGGAGGAGCTGGATCTCGACGTCGTGGACATGGGCGATTCGGGAAGCGAGGTGACATCGTTCCGGTTCTCCCTGCCGTGGGGCCAGACGGCCCCGGTTCCGATGATCGACGACGAGGACGCCTCGCTATCCGGAGGTCCAACTCTCAGCTCTGCGCAGATGGATTTCCCAGCGGTGATGACTCTGGCGGCTCCCCCCACCACTGCCACCGAGGCCTGTAAACCGCCTGAGATCGGGGGTTTATGGCCCGGTGCATCCGGCGCAGCCGACCTTCGTCTCGCCCCAGCTGCCAGAGGTATGGCGGTGTGTGGAGGCGACATGGCAGCAGCCATTTAAAACGAAGGCCTCGATAATCTTGGCGTGTTGGCGTCGTCCTGATCACCCTCAGGCAGACGCCCCCGCCCTCCCGTCTCAGGACGAGAGCGATTATTCGGACCACGCTGTTAGTCAGATGAGTAATCTGATTTATGGCGTGGCCACCGCAGCAGGGCGGATGATTTCCCTGGCCACAGTGGCGTCTCGTCACGTGTGGCCAGGGCTCACGGCCCTATCTAAAGGAGTCCAGCTTAGCCGCATGCTATCGCTGGCTCCTCATCAGGCTCCGCTACGTGCCCCCCTCGCATGCCATGCAGAGGAGGGAGCGTAGTACGACAGTGAAGCGGAGGGAGAGGCGCCGGCACGGGGGTCCCGTAGCTGCAGCGCCCTCCACCTCTACGGCCCACCCCGTGGCACCGGCATACCGGCAATCACGGGGAGGGGCTGCCCAACCGAGGCAGGCTCCGCAACAGCAGAGCACCCGGGTGGGGAACTCTATCTTCGCGGAGTTATCTGTCTATTTAATGCCCAGATCCCTGTCAAAACTTTTAAAATAAAGATGGTGTTGATCTGTATCCAAGTCTGAGTGTCCTTTGTTTCCACAATACACTTGCACATGTTGATGACTGTACAAATTCCCCATTCGCCGCCCCAGCTATAGCTCCCGTTAGGGAGGAGGCTAGTGGGAGTGCGCAGATGAGAGTGATAAACCGCAGGCAGCACTGTTATAGTGCGGTGCGGGTACAGGGACATTTTGGCCGACGTTTTTCTGTTAGAAAACATTCTATGTCTGAAGCTAAGACTCCAAATAATGCTGCTTACTATAGTGATAGGGGCTGCATTATAGCAACGCCCGCACTTGTAAAGAGGCGCGTGGCGGTGCGTTCAGGGGTCTTAGTAAAACACACTACGCCTGTAAGAACTCCGGTTAAATGCTGTTTTCCGTAGTGAGGGAAAATAGCATTATGACGGCCCCCCCTCGAGAGCGGGCCACGGTGCGTTCATGGACAGAAGAAGCTCCGATTAATGCCTCTTTCTCTCTAAGAGGAAGCAGCATTATGGCGGAGCGCGCGCTCTCACGGGAGCGTGCCGTGGTGCGTTCAGTTACCTCAGTGGAAAATCTGCCGTTTTTTTCTCTGAGTGGAAACTGCATTATAGCAACGCCCGCACTCGTAAAGAGGCGCGTGGCGGTGCGTTCAGGGGCCTTAGTAAAACACACTACGCCTGTAAAGCTCCGGTTAATACTGTTTTCCATAGTGAGGAAAATAGCATTACGAGGGAGCGTGCGCTCACACGTGAGCGTACGGCGGTGCGTTCAGGGTCCTCAATAAATAATCGGCCCTTTCTGCTTCGACCCCCCACGGGCGAATCTCCCCTTTACGGGGAGTTTTGCGGCGGAGCGGGTCGTCAGAGAGTATCACAGCTTTATAGCTGCGGCTTGCCCATTAACACAATGTTATGGGGAATGGAAACTCAGCTGTGTACTGACAAGGTGGATGGACAGGACGCTGAAACGGGGCTATTCACTCCAGTTTTGCAGCATCCCACCCCCTGTTATGGGCATGCGAGAGGTAAATCTGTCTTCCCAGGAGGAGATGGGTTTCCTCTCAGCAGAGATTCAGGCTCTGGTGCAGAAACAGGCTGTGTCTGTTGTGCAGCCTCAGCACAGAGAGAAGGGTCTTTATTCCATGTATTTCCTGGTTCTCAAGAAAACATGGGAATTCAGACCTATTCTAGATCTCCGATGCCTGAATCGTCATATTTCCAGCAGGAAATTCCGCATGTTAACTGTGAAACAGTTACTAGGGCTTGTGCAGCCAGGCGATTGGTTCACCACCATCGACCTGAAAGACGCGTACTTTCATGTGGAAATTGTTCCAGAGCACAGAAAGTATTTGCGTTTTGCCTTCCAGGGAATAGCCTACGAGTACAACAGGCTGCCGTTCGGTTATTCCCTATCCCCACGCACATTCAGCAAATGTGTGGCCACAGCGCTTCAACCGCTGCGCGCACACGGCATGAGAGTTTTCTTTTACATAGACGACCTCATAGTCATGGCTGGGTCCCGGGAACAGGCAATGTTTTGCACAGCACAGTTGATCACACACCTAACCAAATTAGGTTTTGCGATCAATTGGAAAAAGAGCACCCCCATACCTCGCCAACAGGCGTTGTATTTGGGTGTGGTGCTCGATGCAGACGCGCTGCGTGCCACCCTGTCAGAGAGCAGACGTGCGTCCCTTCTCAGGGCGGTGCACAGGCTGCGACAGGGGGCGACAGTGACAGCTTTAACTGTCATGCAGACTCTGGGTCTCATGGCGGCTGCTCACATGGTGGTCCCGCTGGGGTTACTACATATGCGCCGCCTGCAGAGGTGGTTCCCCAGCCTGCGTTTGGAGGCACAAACGACGGCTGGTGACCATTCCTCCCCCCCCTCAGTGGGGGCAACCTCCGGTTTTGGGGGTCTCCGGACCACCTCCGGAGGGGGTCTCCACTGGGACGGGTGACCTCCTACATCACAGTGTTCACGGACGCGTCCGGAACAGGATGGGGAGGGACCTGCCTGAAGAGAGCTATAGGTGGGCGCTGGGCTCTGACAGAGTTTCGATACAGCAACCTCCTAGAGCTACGGGCAGTAGTGTTAGTCCTCCGACATTTCATGCCCCTAATTCAGGGGAGACATGTAATGGTCAGGTGCGACAACAGCACCACAGTGGCTTATATCAACAGGCAGGGCGGAGTCCGCTCCGCCTCCTTGTTGACCACAGCGGAGGAGCTGTGGTTATGGGCCTCAGAGGTGGTGTTATCTCTGAGAGCCCTCCATGTCCCGGGACTGGAGAACAGAGGGGCCGACCTCAGGTCGAGGGGCGGCCCCCTGCCAGGCAAGTGCTTCACCCGGAGGTGGTGAAGCAGATCTGGGCCCAGTTCGGGAGAGCAGAAGTGGACCTGTTCGCCAGCCGGCGCAACAGCCACTGTGCCCTGTGGTTCTCCATGGCCCTGAGCGACGACCCGCCCTTGGGGGTGGACGCGTTTGCACGCGAGCCATGGCCAAGGAAGCTGCTATACGCCTTTCCACCGCTGCGTCTCATTCTCTCCTTGGGAGAGTGAGGCGAGAACGTCTGGCAGTCATTCTGGTAGCACCGAATCGCGTCGGGGCTCCGTGGTACTCAGAAATGACACAGATGAAGGTGGGCCAGCCCTGGGCGATCCCCCAGTTCTGGGGGGGGCGACGTCTCAAGGGGCAGGTGCAATCGGGGCGTTACCCACTCTGAGCCGTCCTCTTCAGGCTTGGCTCCTGAGAGGGACAGGCTGAGACAGGGTGGATTGTCTGACAGCGTTATTCAGTCTATCCAGGCAGCTAGAGCAGAATCCACCACAGCCTGTTACAGGCCAAAGTGGCTGAGATTCCAGCATTGGTGTGGGAATAGAGCCCCTATCTTGTGAGTTGGGCTCTATTTTATCCTTCTTACACTTACTGGTGGACAGAGGGCTGGCGCATTTCACAGTGAAAGTGTATGCAGCAGCCATCTCGTCCTGTCGTGAGGGTTTTTGGTGGCAGGTCAGCCTTTAATCAACCACTGATGTCGCGGTTTTTACAGGGGGTTAGGAGACTGCGCCCTGTAGTGCACGTCTCCACCCCGCAGTGGGACCTGCCCCTAGTGCTCGAGGCTCTGGCCTCGGGACCATTGAGCCTTTGGAGCTCTCCCCTCTGAAAGCATTGTCGTGGAAAACAGCTTTGCTTCTTGCCTTAACGTCAGCCAAAAGAGTGTCCGAGTTAACTGCTCTGTCGGTGCACCCGAGTTGTTTACTAGTTCGGGGTGGCCGGAGCGGCGCAACACTTAGACCGAACCCCTCCTTTGTGTCTAAAGACCTAAGGAGTGCGTTCAGGTCGAGGGCTATTCAGTAGGGGGTTTTAGTCTCCCCCTCCATGGGGGGCCAGGGAGGCTAAACTGCACCTCCTCTGCCCGGTGCGTGCGCTAGCATGTTATGTGGAGCTCACGGCTGCCCTTAGACGCACCGAACAGCTGTTCGTGTGCTTCGGGGGCGGGGTGATCGGGAAAGCTCTGTCCAAGAAACGCCTGGCAGGCTGGCTCTGCGAGTGCATTGCACATGCCTACGGTCAGGCAGGGAGAGCCTGCCCCACGGGGATTCGTGCGCACTCCACACGGGCTGTAGCTGTGTCAACAGCCTTGTTCAACAGTGTGGAGGGTTTATGCACAGCGGCGTCTTGGTCGACGCCAGGCCCCTTTATAAGGTTTTATCTCTTGGACATGTCTGGCTCTTTCTCCTCGTCTGTGCTTGCTGGGGAAACACAGAATTTGTAGGGGAGGGGGGGGTTGTGGGTCAGTTGGCATCTGACCCCCTCCCCGGACGTGAAGCGCCTTCACCTTTCCTGGGCCCTCTGAGGGTCCCGGGATAGGCAAGAGGCGCGCTGGCCCGTTACGGGCGGAGGGGCTGCCCCCCTCCTGCCGAGAGGCAGGGGGAGGATAGCCCCCCCACATTTTTTGTCCTCTCACATTCTGCATGGGGTCAGTGCTTGAGTGTGAGGCATGGGCGCTGGCGCTCTCCCTGTTATCCTTAGGGATTCAGGAAGGCAGGTGCGTAGTAAGCCCATACGGGGCCGAGGGGGCTCTCCCCATCCGTCTAGGGGCGGAGGGGGGGGGGGGTCCCCCGGCACTGTTTTTTGAGCACACTTTCTGCGAGGCAAGCGCAGCAGGGTGTGCTCTGTCAGCCGCAGCCCAGATTTCTCCTCGGTCACAACCGGGTTAAAGGAGAGGGGGGGGCAGCAGCTGCTGACCAGAAAAGCCGGTCAGGGGCAGTAGGGTGGATTGGTGTTGGACGACAGTGCGCGTATACATCAGGGCTCCACCCACTGTACCCATAGAGTCCAGTAGAGGGCGGAGCCTGTGAGAGATATAACGCCGGGTTACGTATTGTAACCCTTGTTATATAAACACAGGCGGAGCCCTCTACTCAGGGCACTGTCTGTCCTGTTCCGCTCGCTGAAGAGAGGTATAGGATAGCAGTCAGGAGGCGAGGCCTCCTTTTATACGGTGTGACGTGCGCGCATTCAGGTAGGCCCGCCCTGGGCCGGCTACGTCTATAGAAGTCTCAGTGGGAGAATGCACGCGGGATAAGGTAGTACCCATAGAGTCCAGTAGAGGGCTCTGCCCTGTGTTTATATAACAAGGGTTACAATACGTAACCCGGCGTTTCTTACTTGGTTGTATGAAGCACAGTTGGAGAAAATGAGCTGGACGTCGGACACAAACTCTCCGACAGTCTGGTAGAGTTTCTTCTGGAGTTTGCCGGCTACATTGTTCAGCCACATTGGCGTTTTAATCACAGAGGAGTATCGTTCCAACTGTGGGCGGAAAGCAGTAATTAATTAAAAAGGGCCTATTATGCTTTTTGGGGTTTTCCATTACCTGTAGTGTGTTATACAGGTTTTTGTGCATGTGCATGGTCTGCAAAGGCTAAAATCCCAAAGTTCCTCTCCCACACACTCCCCTCCGACTGAAAAGCCTCCATTGGACTCCTTTGTTTACTTCCGTAGCGCTCCTATTGGCTGGTGCTAACATATTAGTATTTTGTGTCTCTGCTGGGACATGTCTCCATGCTTTAATGTTCAAAAAGCTCTTTATTTTTCTCATACTGCCTGTGCTGCAGCACCTCTTTTCACCCTCTGTCTGAAACCAGAGCCCAGTCTGCTCTGATTGGTTAGCTGGCCGACTCTGTTGTGATTGTTCAACCACTTAGACATGTCCCGCCCCCTTAGCCTATCATGTACAATGTGTTGGAACACTAGCTAATAGAACCGCTGTTACATAGTGATGTCACTGTGTTATGGAAGTAAACAAAGGAGGCACTTCAGGCAGAGATAGGCTAACAGGTGGGACACGACAAAGTGCTGCAGCACAGGCAGTATGAGAAAAATAAAGACCTCTTTGAACATTAAAGCATGGAAACATGTCACAGTAGAGAAACTAAATACAAATATGAACCTGAACATGAACAGAATAAGTCCTCTTTAAACAGTCTGCGAAAAACACATTTATCTTATCTCAGATTCACAAAACACCAGAAGATAGTCCTCCAAGAACCAGATAATGAAGCACACATTATATGCTTTAAATTAAATCATTGGCATTATTTGTCATTAATAGGAGCAATATTGGAATTGCAATAAAAAACACTTACACCACATGGGTTAGAAGCAAATATTTGATCCTTATCAGCACTGCGCAGACACAGAAGGAGGTATTGGCAATGCTGTTGATGTAAGAAAAGGGAGGGATGAGATTAACGGTAAACAAGACACGACGATGAAAAGAGAGATTGAGTCGCAGTGTGCTCACCAGCAGTCTTTGTGATATTGTGCGAGACAAGGCTGCTTCTCTTTCCGACTCCTTGGGGTAAAGGTTTTCATTGGCCTTGTATACACAGAACGTACACATCCATTGGCTTCCATCGCTGCTCACATTGACACACAAACATAATAAAGGTATAAATGTTGGGTCGGACAATTAGCAATCTTCAACAGTATATAACATCGATCCCTCTTTAAATAAGTGAAACCACGTGACATAACACTTGCGTAGGTCATTTATAAGCTGATTTATAAAGTTAAACAATTAGTTTAACATGTAATAAAGCAGGGTCTCCGTCAAGGCAGCGATGCTTTTACCAAAATAAAGTAGATTAGGTGACTTGCATTACAATACAATGTATTGTAATGAATTAAGTAGTATTCTGCAGTTGAAGTTGAATCTACATTTTTTTTATGGATGTCAGTTTTCGAGGCCAAAGCAAGTCACATTGCTATCATTTAGATACATCCATGAGTTTATACTGGTGGAAAAATAATGTCTCTCGAACTACTTGGTAGGTGTCCTTTATAAGAAAATAATGAACAACCTGCAGCCAATCAGAATCAAGTATTAATCCAGATTTAAGGGGAACAAAATGAATCGTGGTTTTTTCTTTTGTTTTGATTCAAAGCTCACCCTATGATGTTGTCCTCTACATGAGGAAGGTGGCATTTCTGATGGAAGGAGCGAGGGCATTTATCACACATCACAAACTCGTCTTCTTCAGTTTTACAGATGAAACACTCGTCATCGTTTTTCTCATCATCCTGCCAAGACAGAAATGTAAACATCTCAGTAGGATTACACTACAGAAGGTTCTTGTTTATGAAACTGACTGATTAACAAACTTACCAGATCCTTACTTTGCGGTTTGCACAGTTTACAATCACACTGCACTTCGTGGATCATCAAGATATTGGCCTGAAAATAAACAGTGTCTATGTTTTACATAGTTAACAACGTTCAGGCTTGAATAGTCCTTCGGTCTCTCAAAAGCTCATTACCTCCCTGGTTACAGGTACATTTTTGTAACTGAAGATTTGCTCTGAAAATTATTAAACATCGCTGTTTTCACAACAGAGCCAGACAGCTAACCAATCAGAGCAGACTGGGTTCTGGTTTCAGACAGAGGGTGAAAAAAGGTGCTGCAGCACAGGCAGAAGGGGAAAAATAAAGAGCTTTTTGAACATTAAAGCATGGAGACATGTCCCAGTAGAGGAACAAAATACAAATATAACCTAAAAAAGAGCATAATGAGGCCCCTTTAAAGATTCCTATCAAAATGCATCTCACAAGAATACACAGTTACATGTTTACCTTTATGTGATCACCGAGTGCTTTCCCTTCACACTCAATGTCTTTCTTCCAGGACAAATATGTTGGACATGCCTCCTGCATGAACTGCATTGGGGTCATCCATTTGGTCTCAGTACGAATACTCTTCCCTAAGATCTCTGGCAAGGAGACACATTACACTAGATTCAGCTGGTCAGTAAAAACTGTATTATTTCAATGCACATATTAAGCTTTTATGTTCAGTCAGATATAGCTACCTGTTGCAAATCGTTTTTCGTGTAAGTCCCCCGCTAAAGGTCCACATGTGACTTTGAACACCTTCCTGCCACTGTCATGGCTGGCGTCTGTCTGTTCCTCTCTCTCTCCTTCTTCATCTGTAATGGACAACATGATTATCCTAATGCTATGATACTGGGATTGGGTCAAGCAGCAGTCTATGCAAGAGTGCCAAAAACTGCATTTCTTCAAATGGCCACTTGAGGCTCTAAAAGGGAGGTTTAAATAGCTAACATTTCAGCAAAAGTTCTTCTACATTCTTCTACAAAAAAAGGTTCAGTCTCAAATTTTCAGTGAGTGAAATTTCTAGTGTTATCCTATTTATATGTTGGCACTTATTAGCAGGTAATCAATGTCTGCACTTACGTTACCTGGCCTGTTAGATTAGCTCGTTGATGTACAAGTCACTGTAAAGCAGGGGTGGGGAACCTCCGGCCCCCGGGCCGTATACGGGCCGCGAGACCATTTGGTACGGCCATCGAGGTAATTTATAAACACACGCAATTATAAATCTAGACCGCACTGTTGTGATTGGTCAAATGCTTAGAGATGGCCCGCCCCTTAGGCTATCACTTACAATGTAATGGAGCGCAAACAATTGGAGCATGAATGATACAGAGTGCTGTCACTATGTTACGGAAGAACACAAAAAAAGTCCAACAAACAAAAATGTTGCAGCAATGGTTACATTTGGACATTGTTAATGGTCTCACACACATAGTACAGTGTCTTGAAAATCATATCAGTTTGCACTGCAGGAGAACATTTGCTCATAGCAAAATCTGGAATAAATCTCCCCTTTTCTTTTGAGAATATGTTATCACACATATTACTTGCTTAATAAAGTCTGATACAAATTTGATGAACAATATATGTCACTATCTTTCTCCGGTCAGAATAAGATTGGAGAAGTTTCACTATATATCAGAAATTACATTGTGATTAATGATCTCTAAATCTGGTCCTAATTTACTTGATTTCCATATTGGAGTAGACAATGATGATACTTTTTTTTTCATGATCCCATACTTCAGTTATTTATATTCTGCTCACCATTAGCCAGTCTTCTTCTGCTGAGCATCCCCTTCTTCTCTCCACAGGTCACCGGCAGCTGGGACTTGTAGAGGTTGTTCTTCTCTCCCTTCTTCAGGGGAGAGGCTGGAAAATAAAAAGAAAGAAAGAAAGAATTTACTTTACAAGTTACTTTTCAGCAGGGGAACTTTGAGTAATATACAGTCATGTTTACAAATGGAAGCAGAAGTGGGAGGTGACTTACAGAAGTGTATTTTCTCCCGAGTCACCCGAGATGACGTACCTGGCTGCTCCTCCTCTTCGTCGCACACGTCCCTATTTTTCAGTTTTCTCTTCTTTTTAACAGAGCTCTCTTGCTTTTCCGCTTCCTCCTCATCTTCTGAAACATCCTTCCTTTTCCCTTTATCTGCCTCCTCTGTTTCCGACCTCTCAAGAGGAGGTATGTCGGATTGGAAAGTCCCTGCAATTTCAATTAACCGCCATTGATATAGTTAATAACGGAACTATTCCTTCCTAACTTTATTGTCATAGTGTGGCCTCAGCAAATGTCGCCAATAATGATGTCAACTTATAACTACGTATTTATTTGTTTAGCTAACTATTTGAACAATGGTGTATTTATTGTTCTAGCTATCAATTTCAACAATAGTTTAATCCATGGTCATTACTTTGACCATGGTTTATGCAGAACTATTTTACGTTTTGACTATCAATGGCCAACTATTTCAACTTGTTTTTTCATTACTTTATAAGAAAATTGCGTGTATCCATATTTTTCAAGTCAGTCAATTCACTTTCAGCTTACCGGTTAAACAGGTATGCTAGTTCGCTAACCCTATCAATCCTAAAATATAGTAAACAGTGTTATTAGGTGTTAGTGTTGAGCCACAAAGTGAGATCAGTGATTCCGATTTAAATTTCCAAAGAGAACAGGAACATGGTGAACAGAATCTTAATCATTAACACACTAATGACCAAAATAAAGACTTCGTCTGACCGTTCATGAGGTCGTTTCTCAGCCGTCGCAGGGTGGGGTACTCGTTCAAGATGGTCTCCTTGAAGACACAGCTCCAGAACACTTTGATGTCCTGTGGTTGCTTCCTCTCCAACAGGTCCAGAAACTCGTAGAGACCGTTCCTTATGTTTTTAATACTCTGCATGCGACTCACCTTCTACAGACACACAAACAAAAGGAGAAAATAAGGGGTTTAATAACTGCACAACAGCCTTAGAGCACAGATGCAGATTGAGCCAAAACACATTTTTGTTTAATCATTTTCAGCATCCAAAGAGCCTAGATTGAGGTCAACAAAATCACAACCTAGAGATTTTTTTACGTGTATATTACAAAAGTTGTGAAACCTGAAATATAAACCAAAAATAAACTGAACTTGTTTTACAACACCAGGATATATTTCTTGGTCATCTGATCACAATGTTAGCTTTGACACTTCCATTAAAGCAGGGGTTGGGGTTATTTGAAAATATGTATACCTATGTATGCTAACATTCATTTAATCTATCCAATGGTTGACAGATAAAGTTGAAATGCTTCCATTCAATTTGGGTTAAATAGATGTTAAAATAATTTAACCTGATTGACACTGACAGATCATTCATACTGCTGATCACTGTCATGGTTTAATTGATATAAAATGTCTGTTCAACAAACGTCTCAAAATGCACATATTAGGGGACAACAAAGAGTTTTGGGGTAGAGGGGGGCATGAAAACGCCCATTAGAAACTCAATTTAATTTAAGGAAGTAGAAAATAACCAAACCATATTCAAAATCCATTTGCAAAGTCGGCAGTAAACAGCCGAAATATAGGCCTACATCATTTTTAAATAAAGTCATTGTTATAAATATTGTTCATTTATGTTGTTTGTAAAGTGTAGACTTTGAGTGTGGGCGCAATCTGAGTCAAAAAGTAGTGGAATTAGATATTGAGACCAGCTACAAGTGGCGACGAACTGCAGTTTTGGCGCTTTTTTTTCACATGCCTCAGCACAGGACGTTTCAAAATGTTTGTGCAGAAATGAGTAGCAGGCATTTCATTCAAACAGGAAGTGTGTATGAAGAAGGTAATAACAACAGCGTTTCCACTCCAGCCCCTCACCTGGTATCTGTCCTCCAGCAGCAGGTCGTAGTCCCGGAGCTGTCGCAGAAAGGTTTGCGGGTTCTCCATGCAGGACATTTCCGTTTTACTTCGCCGGAAAAAGCGCAGGAGCTCATTATCCCCCAGCCGTTCCATCAGATACAGTCACTGCCACAAAACACCCAGAGACACCGCGTCTGCTCCACATCCAAACTATGGCACTAAAGTAAACAAAGTGATTTAGAAAGTCTCCCTCGGTTGTTTACCATGCATTAGGCCTAATTCCCTGCGCGTAAACTGTCCCGATTCATATGATTTGGACACTGGCCCTTTCAAATGCGCATAAGAAACTTCCCCGTGGACTACTGGGTTGGTGGTTTGAAATCAAAACAAGTAGAGATTTAGAAGCATTCATTCGTGGAGTTTCTTACCTGTATCTTCCCACAAATGTGTCCTCAGTTCCTCCTTCAGCGAATAGTATATTCCTGCAATACCTCCCTTCTCTTTGGGTGACGTTTGGAAAGCGAAACTATTTACTTTTTGACAGATAAATTAACTACTGGTCCCTGTCTGCAGAGGGTATCATCCACTTAAAAGAGACTTCCTGAATTGTTATTTATTTAAATGAAAGAATAGCCTACTATTTATTTTAGTTGTCAGTTAGTGAGAAAAATAACAGTTTTATTTTAAATTATGCTACTATTCAAACTTAATTTGACAGTATACGCCATTTATTTTACTGCATATTATCTCTGTTCTATTTTATATGTATATATTTTTCTTATTCCTTAAACGAACTTGCACCATTTTGTCTATTGCACAATTTTATGTCATTTACTTTTATGTAAAGTATATTGTTTGTTGCATTGTTGGAGAGGCCTGAGATTTTCATTGCCAAAACCACAGTGTGTAGCTACTGTGCATACAATAAATACAGCTTTTGAATCCTTTGACTATATTCTTTTAGGGGAAAATGCTTATAAATATGTAAAATATTACATTTATTATGTTGCTCTTTTCTTATCTCGATTTAAGTTATACTGAAGAACTTTAAATACAAGTCTTACATTCACCAGTGTTCAGTACTCTAGTGAGGATTCACTGTTTTTATGTTTTGTTTATCAGACTCTTCAGCTTTCTTGTCCAGTTTTCTTATAAAAGTAATCAAATATAATAACATTTGTAGGAAGAAGTATTTAGAAAAGTGTCATTGCCTTTTACATTTTTCCACAGTGTAACTTGAACACTTTCACTTTTTACAGTTTGAAACTAACCTTCCCAACAGTGAGTAATTGTAAAATAACTATAGTGAACATTTGGCTTTCCTCTCACCAGCTTTGACTCTAAAGCCACGACTTTGACATGGCATTTCCACAGAGATTTAACAAATATATTCCAATTACTTGTATATAGACTCTACGATTTCCATTCTATTTTATTTGTATTACTTCCACTATTTTAATTGTCTGTTTTATTATGTTGCGCCGTTGGAGGAGCCTGTGACCTAAGATTTCCATTGCCATATCTACACTGTAACTATGTACACATGACAATAAAAGTCTTGAATCTTGAATATATCATTTATTGTTTTGTTCCTCGTGCATGCTGTTGATGGTATCGTATCCTTCCAAGTCGTTGTAGATGACGTCTGTGTGGTGTTCCTGGCAGGTCTGCACCGCTTGCAGGACGGATGCGAGGCGCCGGTCCAGAGCAGAGAGGTTTCCTTCAGAGAGGAGCGGGGCCAGAGGGGCCAGAGGGTCCTGAGCCAGAGACTCCCTCATGACGTCACTGAGACGGAAACCAGGGAGGGACAGGAGACGCAGACGGAGGAGGGTGGAGCGACGGATGCTACAAATATGGGTGGAGAGCTCAAGATCATAAGAAATATTGACACATAAGCCAGAATCTTCAGAGATAATTCAAGTTTCCTCACCCTCTTTCTGGTCTGTTAATTGCATAGGTGTCATTATGTGCTACTATGGCGCGTTTCCACTACAGCGCGGAGCACGGTTTAAGAGGGCTGTGACGTCAGCGGCCCGTCTTTGGTTGCGTTTCCACTTGGCCTAGTACCGGCCGGCGGGTCCTAATTCACAGTTTTTCTGGCCTCATAAAATCGTGGTTCTAGGGCCAGAGACAACGAGGCTGAGTCGGGCTGAGTATGCTAAACTAGAGAGAGAATCGCTGGCAAGGGGGCTACAACTACAACAAGATGGACATATTTGACCGTGATTTAATTGTAATACACGTTTCAAAATGATGCCGAAGTAACAACATACTGATACTGGTTAGTAAAAACCATGAATTAATGCTTTGACAAGTCTGCAGACAGACGGCAGGCGAAAAACCTTTTAAAATGCGTGTTTTCTAAATGGAGATTGGCTAAGCGAACGCAGTATATGCTCCGACCGTCCACACTCACAACAACGGCCTATACAGACATAAATAAAGCAGCGACTGTATTCGCCATGACACAGACAGTCTGTGGTTTGTACTTGTTTAACTTTTGTCTAGTTTCTGAACATATATGAGGAGCTGTGAGCTCTAAGTGCTAACAGCTAACGGCTGTGTTGTTTTTCTGGGGTTCTCATTGAAGATGACGTCACGGCTCCGCCTACACTGCGTTACTATAGATACTACCCCAGTTCCTAAACTGTAATGGAAATGCGCCATAAAGTGAGCCAGTCCTAACGAGGCCTAGCCATACCGAGCGAGGCCGTGTAGTGTAAATAACTGACCTTGAAGCAGGCCGCTGTGTCTGTAAATGCTTTGGCTAAACTTGGTGTGAGACTGTGTTGTGATTGTGTGTTTTAAAATTGTCTGTAACTGTGCTGTTACCATTCTTGGGCCAGGACTCTCTTGAAAAATAGATTTGTAATCTCAATGAGGCCTATCCTGGTTAAATAAAGATTAAGTGAATAAATACAAAATGTGCTGAATTCTTTTTTTGTAGTTTTCTTGCCACTAGTTGTTGCTCATTAAAAAATAAAAATTAATATTATTATAAATTAACTATATCTGGTGGCATCTTGTAGCAAATCACGTTAAAAATCACTTTTTTCCAACGCGTCTTGGGGTAACATGGAAATTCTTGCTCAGCTTGTTTCTATGATAATTTGATAGCTAGACGTTCAGGAGAATTTTACCAAGAGCTGAATTATCCACAGAGGTCTAATTTATCTTTTAATTAAATCAACAAGGTGAGAAGACCCAAAATATGTTAAAATATGCCGTTTGCTCAGCTTGTTGTCTGATAACTGAAGATCCAGGTGTCTGATGACTAAAATCATTCAGCCAGTTACAATATATTGTCAACAACAACCAACATCTCAAAGGTGCATTGTTAAAATGGGGCTCAAATTAGATAAAAAGTCAATTTATGACAGCTTCTGGCAGAAAAACCCAATGTTGATGCATGTGCAAAGAGCATTCTTTACAGGAGACAAAATGAAATGGACTGTTTCCTTGATTTAAATAACAGATTTCTCCAAGTCTGATAAATGTTGGAATTATTTGGGATGATATTAGAACACAATTTAACTAAATATGTAGCATAGGTCTGGTTGTCTTTGGACATTCAAGGCAGAAATGTTGGATATTGGATAGTTACTCAGTGAACAGACTGTTTTGTTTTACCTGCAGCATTGTTTCAAAGGAACTAGAATAGTCGGTTCGTCCTGAGAGTGACGGCCGAACCTGAAAAACATCAAGAGCATCAAACATATATAATGTTTCTTTATTTATGTTCTCAGACTTCTACATATTAGTTGCTATACGAGTAACATTATCAACTCCCAGACAGCAGCTCATTGTACTCACGCCCGTCCGTTATCCAGATGCAGCAGAAAAGTCTCATTTCCAAATTTCTCAAACGTCTCATAGTGATGTCTGTCCATGTTGCCTTCAAAGACAAACATTCATGCTTATTTAGACTGTGACCAACATTTCTGTAGAAACACAAAGATAATAATGGTTTGTGATAACATCCTGAGCATTAACCTGGAAAATATTACTCTTTTTCTTATTTATTTATACACTTTGAATGTTTTTCCCTTACATCTTAAAGGAAAAAGAGGCCAGTGAGCCACTGCCTGTAAACCCCCTTTTGTTTCAAGCTAGGATTGTGTTTAAATTAAAGCACTGACTCATGAGGAAGTCCAGTATAGCCATGTCTATGAGATCCACCAGCCGGGTGCCGTGGTTGTAAGGAGGCTTCTGTTTCACAGTGTCACAGTAGGCCGGGTCCTTCTCCCACCTGGGAACAACACAGAAATTAGGTAGAAGAAAAAGGATACTAATAGGATGATATTAGTACTCATATTTAATGTTGTGTTTTACTGTTTTATTTTGACCACCAGAGGACAGTGAAGCCTCATGATTCTACAAACACTCATCCCAACTCTAGACTCCAACAGAAGGTCGAAACATTACAATTGATTACTGCAGTGATTATTGCAGGGTTTTTCTGTTTAAAGGTCACATTTTATGCAAAATCAACTTGTTCATGTCTCTTCTACATCAACATGTGTCCCCTCTTCTTCATGTCTCTTCTACATCAACATGTGTCCCCTCTTCTTCATGTCTCTTCTACATCAACATGTGTCCCCTCTTCTTCATGTCTCTTCTTCATCAACATGTGTCCCCTCTTCTTCATGTCTCTTCTACATCAACATGTGTCCCCTCTTCTTCATGTCTCTTCTACATCAACATGTGTCCCCTCTTCTTCATGTCTCTTCTACATCAACATGTCCCCTCTGTGTAAAGAGACTCTGGAAGTTTCAGGAACAAAGATTCTCTCTCTTTTTGTCCTGATCCATTTATATAAAAACCTGTCTGAAAATGAGCTGATCAGATTTCGGCCACTTTATGATGTCATAACGATGTTTTGTCTTGTGTAACCATTAGCCAATCACCAACCAAGGTAACCCCCCCCCCCACCTTATCACCTGAATCTCCTCCTAGAGCACCATTGTGTTCTTTTTAACCAAATATCTCTCAGAGGGGCGTGGGGAGGGGCTCCTTATTTCCATCTAAAGTAACAGACAGAGAATCAGCACTTTGGAAACAGGGCTGAAACAGAGGGGATTATGGGATGCTGCAATGATCTGTTTGGTGTTTGGAGCCAAACACTTCAGAGACATGTTTTGTATATATCTGAGACCTATAATATATTGATGAAAAACTGTATAATAGGGGACCTTTAAAATCAACCATTTATAATACATATTCTGTAAAAATGGTGTACCCACATTGCTAGCTTGGTGCGGCTGTATGAGCGCCTCCATGGTGACCTCCAGGAGCGGCGGGGAGCCAGGCTGAGGTCTGGCAGCATGGCGGCCAGAGAAACCTCCAGACTGTGGGGCTGACCGCACGCCGGGTGCTCCGTGGAACAGTAGTACTCACACTGGCCGTAGAAACACACGTTCCCCGCTGCAGTCAGAGAGACGACAGCTTAGTTTATTCAGTTTTTCAGTTTGCATGGATAGTATGTCATAGTCACTCCAATCCAATGCC